AACGTCAAAGCAGAGATAAAGTGGTTTGTTTGTTTCAGTTGGTTCCCCTTTACGTCACTTTTAGAATGTGTACGGGATAAAAGTCGTTAAAACTATTCCTTTTTCTGAAAATCCGCAGCTATACTTATACTTATCATTACGGTGTTTACCCTCAGCACTCAGCGACTAAGAATTATTGGTGGTTTTATTGACCCAAATAAGCAGGTTACATACGCTTCCGTAATTCGTTTTCATTGCCGTCTTATAATTCTGGGGCGGCAATCAGTCCCTGTTAAATACAACCCTTAAGTTTAATAAGCGAAATTTAAAATAAATGCAGCCCAAAAGGAGACGAATGATTTTGTACATTAAACCTACATTCATTCGGTGCAGGACTCGAACCGTCGATAGTAAACAGTTTTTACTTTTTTTTTACGTTCGATGAATTCGTAAATCGTTTGAACTGTGCGTCGGCTAAAATGCTTAATTCATCAATCTGCCTACTGAAAATCGGCGTCCGTCTGCTTATAGGGTAAAGTCTGCCGTTTGCGAGTTTTAACGTAGTCGTATACGAATGAATCATCGGAAAATGCAATGAACGTTTAAACTAATAATATTTTACGTCGGTCACCATTAATCTAACAACTTTTACCAGAGGTCAGTTTTGTTTGTTTTCGATTGCTCGTGTTAATTTGGTCGTTTCAAATTTTCCTGATTGATAGCTACGAACGGTAAACATACCAAAGTGGTGATTTATCAGTTATGATATTAATAGCCATATCGTTCCTTATATAGACGAGTAATTAAAACCGTTTACATAAACAAATGATTGCATACATGCTAATTCCTTCTTTAACAGTCACTCGCAAAAGTTCACATTCACCAGCTAAGTTTTCCTTAACAAAATCATTTAATTTGATTTTGAATATTTCATTATACGTTCGGTGTTAATGCAACGTAATTTTGAGATTACAGAAGAAATATAGGAAATGAAATTGGACAAAATTTTAATTAACATGCCACCGAAGTCCACATAACTTCAAGAAAAGACATGCATTGTATTGTATTTTATTCTATTGTCTAATATATTTATAACAGTTCCTGTGTCAGCTTTTACAAGAGATTTTTCAAAATTTCAACATATGGGATTTTTTTTCTTTACTAGCTGGACATTGGACAACCCAAATATTAATATTGCCAGGATAGGACATAAACAGGGTCAACTGAGATAAAAAGAAAATTTGTTTTACAAAATTAATAATTTTCTTGCTATTTTTTTAATAATTTTAAATACTGTCGTAAATTATTCAAAGTCAAGTCAATTTAGCACATGTTTGTACCAATTCCATTTTATTTGAAAAATGAACTAAGTTTTTAAAATTTTATGTTTGTTGCAACGATATTTATTAGCACTTAAAAATTTTATAAAAACTATTTATAAGTAGTCAAAAGAATACTAATTATAATAGACATATTAAGAAATCGTCATTTGTCTAGTAAAATTATGCAATTATAAATCGGTTAAGATTAGTCCATAGTATTAATATTATTATTTATTTTAGTAAGATTTTTATGATTATGATTATGTTGCTGATTTTCTAACATATCTATTATAGTTAGCAATGATTCGGCTACTTAATAAGAATTTTTATAAAATTTTTAAGCGTTATTAAATATTGTTGCAACAAACACAAAATTTGTATCTCGATAAAAAATTAAAAATCTTAGTTAATTGAATGAATTAGTAAAATTGAAAATAATAATAATAGTAAAGGAATTATTAATATTTATGTAACAAAAAACTTTTTTTTATCTTAGTAGTCCCTGTTTTCTTAATATCTAAATCTAAATAACAAATTCTTAATTTTTTGAAATAAGGGTACTTTACTCTTGTCCTTTTTTTGTATTTTTTGTCCTAGCCTTTATCCTGTTTGTAGTGTTAGTAAAAAAAATCGCCACCATCAAAATGTTGCACACTAAAATGACGTTGTTAATACATATATTAGTGAGTAATAACAATATAGACAATAATTTGTTATACACAAGGCGTTTTGAAATTTAGATTGTCAAATCCTATTAATATTTTGCTTTGTTGTTAATGTATGTAATATTGAAGAAAATAGACAAAACGAAAACTAACAAAACTGACAAATTCGTCTTTATTGGTGGATCTTCTTCGATATATACAATGCTACAGATTTTTTTTTAACAAATCAATAATTATAAACACATCATTGAAAATATTTAAATATTTAGTTCTAAATTTGCATCTTGAAAATAAATAAATGAATGGGGAGATACAAAATTTGAAATGACAGGCAAGTGGTTCTGCACACTATACAGTTTTCTCCATTTGATGTGATTACTAGACTTGCTCTGATCTTTGATTTTTGATCGTGGTGTCTTAAGAACCATTAGATGTTGAATTTATATTTTGTTGGGATTTCTATGATTTTTCCATTCCTTTAATTTGGTATTTGGGAGATTTTTAACAAGTTGTACTCCTTTCTTCGCTCTTTCGAGAAGTCACAGTTCTTTTTCTCTATTTTTTCGTTTTTGTATCATTTTTTCGTAAATAGATATCGCTATCAACACCGTTGTTGTTCCTCACAAGCGTTGCACTTTGTGCCTCGTTCATAAAAAAATGTTGTAGAGCTGAGGTGGCTTTTACTTGACGAAAATCTATTTATCAAAATAAATGAGAACTAAAAGTTGAGATTTTCATGAAATTATATATTTTGACATGACAATTGTTTCGACAACACCGTGTCTTTATCAAATGTAATATTTACAAACTACCTGCTACTATATATACCAAAAAATTATCATAAAATTTTAATTAATGTTATTGTGAGAATTTAAGAATTTAAGTTCAATAAAGGGGAGGTATTTAAATTAACGATTAAATAGATTTAAATATCTCTCCTTTATTAAACTTAAATTATCACAATAACATTAATTAAGATGTTATAGTCATTTTTCGGTATATATAGTATCAGGTAGTTTGTAGATATTACATTTGATAAAGACACGGTGTTTTCGAAACAATTGTCATGTCATAATAATATAATTCCGTGAAAATCTCAACTTTTAGTTCTTATTTATTTTGAAAAATTGTTGTCCAACCAAGAAATCATCCCTTAAAGTTACTCTTATCTACTTAGTTACAAACCTCTATAATCTCTATAATAATTTGTTATAAAAATTAAGCAGCCGTATGACTTTTCTGAGTGACGGTATCTACATGTAGAAATTCGTGCAATTACAGCTCTTAACGATCTCAGCGATATTGTCTTACTTTCATCTGACATACGGAATTGCGATCGCCGCAGAGATATAATGACCAGCTCCACAGGAACTATGACTGACGAACAAAAAAATGAAATAGCTATTTTATAATGCTCAATGAAAAGTATCCGTTCGATCGCGTGCATGTCAACTGTCACGCAGTAACACAAATTAAGCTGCGTATTTCTTAATTAAAGGTTTGCTAGGTATACCCGTGTCGCACGCGAGACCCAGTATCTTTTGTTTTATCTTTGCGTAAGGCTCGTAAGTGATACTGGTGCAATGCCATTGTTGCAGGATACAACAATAACCAATATTGTCAAAATAAAAACATTTTTTGGTTAAATACAATCAAATTTGTCCGCCCTTCAAACTATTTATTTCGTTTGACAATAATGACAAAATGTAAAAGAAACTTGAACTGAGGTGGCTTTTACTTGATGAAAATCCATTTAACAAAATAAATAATAACTAAAAGTTCAAATTTTCACCAAATTATATATTTTGACATGACAATTGTTTCGACAACACCGTGCAGTTAAACTCTTAAAAAAAAATTAGTAAATATTTTAAAGTTCCTCGCGAGATTTTAAACCAAAATTTGCAATAAAAAATTCTTTTGAATTAATCAACAAAATTTAAGATATCAAAATCCCTTCTAATGCAACACTATTGTCTTTTGATGTACAAAACTTATTTCCCAGTATTCCACCTATGGATTGACTTAGTAGATTTCACCGTCACTCGGAAACAGGTTAACCCATTGGAGAAACAAGATTTATCAGATTGCTTAATAGTATCTTTAGACCAAAATTATTTTGAATTTAATGGACAGATTTATATCTCTAAAGAAGGTTTGATTATGGGAAACTCACTTAGTCCTTGGCCGAGATTTTTATGGATAATTTGGAAAATATCATATTAGAACATTCTTTAAGTAAAAGTTTTCTATGGTGGTATAGCTATGTGAACGATGTCCTTGCTTGCTTTGTTATTACGGAAGGACAATTAAATTATTTTTTAAATTACAAGATTGAGCAGGATAACTCTATTAATTTTTTAGACTTAACTATTACAAAAACGCAAAACAAATGAAATTTTTCCATTTACCATAAACCTTTACACACGGACACAGTCATAGATAACAGCTCAAATCACCCTTATACACACAAAATGGCTGCATTTCACTCTTTTATACACAGACTCCTTAATACGCCACTCTCAACAGAAAATTACAAAAAAGAACTTAATAGCATTAAACAAATTGCACTAAACAGCGGCTACAATCCGTCCATTATCGATAAACTTATAAATAAAAAACAAATCCAGACAACAATATACTCTATTTATCCGAAACCTAATACAGAACACGAACAATTTAAAACCATGACATACATATGAGAACCCAGTGAAAAAGCTTCAAAACATTTGTCAAAATGTGGTTTAAAAATGGCTTTCAGAACTAAAAACACAATAGAAAAAATTCTCACAACAATATTAATTAAGATTTTATTGTCATTTTTCGGTATATATAGCAGGGTGTTGTCGAAACAGTTGTCAGATGAATATATATAATCAAACAATCTGAACTTTTAGTTCTTATTTATTTTGTAATAGAAACTTTTAATATTACTTTTGTATATTTTAGTTAGTACCCTGTAAAAACCTCCACCTACTTAAGTATTACTCCAAGGACGACTAAAATTTCTGTTAAGCAAAATTTTCATCCCCAGTTTTTAGATTTTGACAACCTACCGGATACCAATTTCACGTGCGTGGGCAAAGTCATAGGAGGCTATTACGCGGACCTCGAGACCAACTGTCAGATGTTTCACGTTTGCACCATCGGCCAACTTGAGGAACCGATGGACATACGATTTTTGTGTCTAAACGGGACCGTTTTTGATCAGGTTAGTATTTCCAAAGATCGATAAGCAGAGTTCGAAAGGTGAACGCTAACGATCGTTTAATTAACCAGTTGGTTCTTGGAAAACGGAAAATTGACATTCGAATGTTAGATTTCCGCGAAATTTTAAAATGTTTTTTTATTGACTTCTTAATTAATCTATAAGTGTCCCATAAAACCTAATGACAAACAATTTAAACATATTTTGAGCGTTAGAAAAAAGCAGTAATAAAAAAATATTACACACAAAAATGCACACTTAACCTGGTGACAATAAAATGAATGAAATAAAAATTTAGATATGTCATGTAAATAAAAATTGCTACACTTTTTTTCATATGAAACAATTGGTTTTGAAGTAAGATTCTTGGAATTATGACTGAGAGCATTGGGATGTTATGTCTTCTTGGATTTGAATAACTCTAGAAAACCAAATGGTCCAATAAAAACCTAAAACCCCCTAGCCCCAGCATTTGCCCCAAACCTACCTTGGAACGCCTCAATAAATGTATATTATTTTTACTGTTTGTCCATTGCTACACAACCCAAGATATTTAGTTCGGAAAATTCACCTACAATAAATCGTTTTGAATATTTTCAGGTTCTTGATGATTTTTAGTTTTTAATTGATTCTCCAACCAATGAAAGGACTGCTCTCTCGGTCGAGGCCGATCTAGGAATTGCTCCGTATAATATTCTCTTGTAAAATAATGTCATTTTTCAAATGCTCGAGATACTAAGCAATTGCAATACACACTGTCAATCTTTTAAAATTATTGTGTAAGATTTTTTCACAGCCTCCTATTTTAAATATATTTTCTAAAATTTAGTTTGACTATTAAATTTAAATCTCAAATATCTTAAAAAGTTTTGGAGACACATAAAACCGCTATTTTATAAAAAATATTCCAAATTGAACACAGAATAATAACAATGGGGCTTTACGGCGAAAGTCCAGTTTTCAGTGTAGTCCCGGTAAGAGCAAAAGTTTGTTTAGTTAAAATGACTGAGAAAAAATTGAAATTCTTGAATCCTGTTATCTCCAATACTATTAGAGCTATCGAAAAAACTATTTGGATTTATAGGGTATTTCCTTTAAAACAAGAAAGTTGATCTCACTCCCAATAAAACCCGAAATGCTATTCAATTGTTTCATATGTCAAATGTCATATTGGATTTATTTGTTTAACTGAGTTATCGTTTGAGAAGAAATTTGCTTGACGCTGCGGGAATTTTTTGTTTTGAATGCGACAACAAAAGTGTGTTAAGAATAATTAAGAATATATAACGTTTAGGAGTAAATGTACCACTTTTGTTTTATATTTGTGATTTAGTACTCTTGTAAATGAGTGATAAAAAAATGAATAGCTAATGTTTTTCTTTTTTTTTTTCTTATTATTATTTTGTATATTGCATATTTCAAAATTGTTGTTGCTAATTGTTTTCTCATACACAGAAATTTGATGTTTTAGTTATTGTTAATTAATTATAGTTAAAATTGAAGCTCTTCATTATTTAAAAAAAATAGGTCGGTAGGTACCGAGAAACCTTAACAAGGGGCACTATCTAACCACGATAACGTAGTGGTTCTGTATAAAAAATCATAGAAAAAATTGTTTAAATATCGTCCCATAACCAAAAGTTTACGTAACTCTTAGTAATAAATTTGGTTGTTATTAAGACCCATTTTCAATATTATGGAAACAGCAGATTCAGCAGATATAGGAGATCATAGGAAAACGGGTTTCAATAAATATTTTATGTCTTTTTATAATAAATTGGCAACTTCGCATTAAAATTAAAAAAACAACAATTGAAAATGTTGTTGAAATATTTATGTTATTATTTTGTGCCACGTAATATTTTATTTCAGTAATATAATTTTTTAATAATTATTATTAATATTTTCATATTCTAGGAAACTCGAGTCTGCGAAAGGATTGACGAAGTGGACTGTTCAAAATCGGAACAATTTTACAGCCTGAACTTGGAACTGTATGGAAACAGTCAGCCTATTTTAGAAGGTAAGTAACGGTCAATATAATCAGGCCTAGCTTATTTCGGAACACAGAAGGCGGACAATTTGTCCATGCATACAAATTTGCCGCGTTTAAGGTAAATATATATATCGCTGCCGGTTTTTATACGCCATATACGTTTACAAAACGTAATTCAGATGTGTATGTGTTGCCGCCGGGTTTTGCAAAACTTATATGGATGTAATTCTCGAAACAATTTGTAACGTTTTGTCTGTACCTAATTGTACGTTTGGCAACTGAACAATTGGCCGTGCAGGGTGTAATCTAGATTTACATACGTATCGGTTAAACTCATTTGTTACAAAATGTCGCAATCCAGCTATTTACGTCCATTCACAGTTTTGCTTAAAGTTAGCAAACACTGCGTTTCTTTTAGTAAGCTTTATTTAATGTTCTACGTGCTTTTGACTCCTATTTGCAAACCAAACTAATAAATTGTATTACACAACATTAAAATAACAACACTAACCTAAAAGGAAACAACAAAATTACAAATTTGTTTGTTTTCTTTTTCCCTTTTTTTCGTTTTCCACACATTTAAGGTATATTTTTCTTCACTTACGTACTTCTATCATTCAGAACCCAATCTCTGCTTTTTTTATTTCCTTTGTTCCTTTTTCTCCTTATTCAAAGTCTATTGCCTCTTATCTACTTCTTTCATCCATCCGTAATCTACACTTTCTTCTTATTACCAATACTTAATGCTTGACGATACTGTAAAACTTGCTACGTATTTTTGTCTCTTTCACTCTCTTCTCGATTCATCCACATGCTCTCACTCTTTCGTACACTGTGTCGCACTTAGCCTAGAACACAAAGAACGAAAAGACCTCGCAATATTCGTACAATTTTCTTCTATTTTCTACGTTTTTTAGAGTCGCCAGATGTACCAGAGACTGAACAACCTCTCGTTATCAAATCCACCACTACGACAACGACAACCACGACAACCAGGCGACCAACCACCAAGCCGACCAAGCCTCCGTACTTCAGCACTTCGATTCTACCTACCGCAACGTCTGCTAGAAACCAGCAAGTGGTCCACCATTTCCCCGTCACCTCGTCGGACATCCGTTTCAATCCGGAAGAAATCAACATCAGTCTAAACGCAGGATCGCCTCCGGACATAAGAACTAATCACTTCGGGAACGGTTACAGTGACTCTAGTGATAGTGCGAAAGTGCAGACTTCTAACCAGGAACTGAAAAGACCTCACGCCATCTCCTCGACGACCTCTAGACCGGTCTTCTCGTTAGACGCGACCAGCAGGAAGTTACCGCAAATTAACGAAGACGTCCACTACGATTTTACCAACTCGGATTATAACACCGAGTACCCGCAAGTGTTTCACTTTGACAGCAGACACACCAGCTTCCTACCTCACATCGCGCAAGACGTGTACCATAACCGCCAGTATCAGAACAAACCCCACCCCTCTACGTTTAGGCCGAATTATCTTCAATCGCTCAAACCTCCCGACATTAACCAACAACACCACTACAACACCCAAACGGAAAAGCCGCCGCAGAGACTTCAAATTCCTATACCGTTACTTCCCACGTTGCCACCGTTAATATTTAGTTCACCAGCACCGTTCACTTTACATAGACACGTCGACTCCAAACGGTATACTAAAGAGCACCAGGCTCCACCCAGAATAATAATCAGTGCTAGCGCCAGCGTGACAGACGACAGCGGCAGAAGACTGAACTATTCGTTAGGCACGATAGGCGCCGCTCAAATTCTGGAAGCACCCCCACCATCTTACGACGAGTACAAGGACACTGACGTTGGGTTGGACCCATTTTATCACGACGTTCCCAAATTGAAGCAACGCAGGCGACGTAGGAGCGCTGATCAACCCGAACTAAACCCGTTCGAGGTAATCCGCAACGAGCAAGAGGCCGTTAAAGTTTTAAAGTTCCTGTTTACTTGGTACCAGAATCATCAAGCTACAGCTACCGCGCCCTCTGTTACGATACCGGTCTCTCCGGATCTGATAACGAAGATTAATCACGAATTTGCGCCTCAGAGCTACTCGGATGACAGCGGCGAATTGCATTTTATCAGCTCCAGAGAAACCGTCCAAAGCACAACGCCGGCTCCGGTAACTCAGTCCGATTTTGTGGGTGGCAACCCTAAGGAATCCTCATCTACAACGAACGAAGAAGATGGGGACATTGGGGGGACTAAGTCGGAAGGAGCGAACGAGTCATCCAAAAATAACTCGGGCTTGTATATTAATCCTGACGACTATATAGATGATAATTACGAACCTCAATCATATAAGGAGGCAAAAACTTTTAAGTTGCCTATTCAATTACCGGAATTGGAGGTCCTGCCGGATCATAAATTAGAAACTCCGACCAATACAGACGGTTTCCAAAACAAACAAAATCTAGAAGATTCTAAAAATTCAAAAGTCGATGAAGATACCAAAATTTCAATAAACGACAACGTCAGTTCGACCACAGCTGCTCGCCCAGAAAACAACTTCAGACGTAGAGGTAGAGGCAGGCATCGTTACTCCAGCCGGGTTTCACAGCAACAGCACTACTCGTTTTCAGAAAATTTTGACGACTCTTTGAGACATCCCGATGTCGCGAAAGAGAGTCCCGAGTTCTTTCGCATTCCGATACCCCTGGAAAATCCACCGGAGTTTCCCGAAAGATCTGCCCACAGAAACTCGCGCAAAAGAGGACGGTCTAGATTCAATAGCATCGTATCCACGGAATCTCCAACGTCTAGTACTTCGGATGCGCCAACGAACGAAATTAAAAGTTCCCTGGAAACTTCAACGGAATATGCTCCACCTATTACGGAAACTAATTACACTTACACGCCAGAGATGCCAACGAACGAAATTAAAAGTACCCTAGAAACTTCTACCGAATATGAACTACCTGTTACTGCTGGGCCAGCTAAGACCACTGACGCACCAGCGATGGAGATTGATCAAGACAGTGAGCAAACCAAAGTACCTGCTAATCCGGAATCCAATCAGCGCAGTTTATCCAACCTAGCGAACGACACGATTGAGATAAACCTGTCATCGAAAAATTCCGCCAACGTGCTGCAGGATATTAAGGAAATATTCGAGCAAAGCGAAATCGTAGATGAAAACGGAAACGTCAAGGACGGACAAGATATTTTCAAAAATCTGCAGAGCGCTTTCGACGCCAGCGTAGACCACGTGGAAGAGCTCAAAACGTCGTATAAAGAGGAAGACTATTTGGCGACATCTGCGTCGCCTCCCATTAAGCACGGCGAAGAAACTGTTTCCGTTAGGGCAGACGTCTCAACCGAGAGTGTCCGCAATATTCCTTCCGTACAAAGCGACAATCCGATTACTCCCGAATATGAGACCGAAAGTAACTTTGAAATCTTCAAATCGGTGACTTATGAGCCGGTGACGATTGAAGATAGACCCGAAACTGCCACCGAGGAAACAATTCTTCCAATATATTACCACCCAAGAGGTTACGATGGCGTAACTACTCCCTCAAATCCGACCGGCATTGAAAACTCATCCGATACTCACAGCTACTACCAACCGACAACTTCTAACAACTCTGCAGGTTCGGAGTTGACAAATACCAGGAACAGTTCAGATTATCAGGGGAATGGAGATTACCAGTTGCCTCCTGTAGACGACACGACGGTAACCACGCCCCTGATTAACTTTGAGGTTTCCGAAAGTTTTGCTACGACTTTGGCTCCGTTCACGGAAGAAACTTTCACGGAACACAACATCAATTCCACGGATGGTTACAAAGAGATCTCTCAAAAAGTAAATATACGACCATCGTTGGTTAAATCTAAGCATAACAAAATACCAGCGTTTATTGTCGAAAACTATATGAGAAATCCGTATTTGCAGTACGATAACACCAAATACGCAACTCCGAAAACAAAAAATGAGGATTACGTACTGCACAACGAGACCACAACCGAGAGCACTACGGAAGAAGTCTCTCAGCAGGAACAAAACTCCACGCTGAATACCAGTACCACTGAATCGATTTTGAAAAAACACGCAAACTACTTAGCGGTACTGTCGAAAGCGTTCGAAAATATATACTCGCCTCGCAATGAATCTGACGAAAAACAAGACCAATCTGACACGACAACTAAAGATCACAATTTAAAGCACCTAGATGAAGGAGTCATTCAAGAGGAGAATCTCACTGAATTATCTGAGACGACCACGTTGGAGACTACAACGCAAGTCTCCGAAACTAGCACTATTCCTACGACAACTACTTTCAAGCCTTACAGTACGTCTAAACCCACAAGGAGGAGTAGAACAAGGGGACGGTCTCGCTTCTTGGACCATCACCGATTACCACATCACGAAACTACCACATCTTCGACAGTGAGCGCGTTCGAAGGACTGTTCCAAAACCTTTTGTTCCAAAACTTTGCGAAATCGAATCGAAATACCAAAAAAGCGTTGAGTAGTCAAACTGAAACGACTGCTATTCCCGTGCACACGACTTCGTTACCATTGAGTGACCATTTGAACGAGCTGATTCAGAATGTGGAAACAACCACTGGAAGCGTATCGGTTACCGATTTCACAGAGCACTTATCTACAACGGACAATGCTGAAGATAATGAAATTACAACTCCGGTATCACCTACTGAACCTACCGAAGAACCCATCGAAAATACTGAGGCTCCGACGACTACCGAAGAATTCTATCAACCAACAGAGCCGGAAAAACTTCCCACCACGTTTCCTTCTTATGGGGGTATAAATTTGAATGAACTTGGATTAACTAGCACACCGTCACCATTCTCGAAACGTCCAGCAATAGACATTCCCGCAACATCTTCACCGGATTTTCCGAGTACCGTAATCGGAGAGGAAGATTTAAACAAAATATTCAATTCTAGTCATTTAGTGCAGGTGCTGGTAGAAACTACCACGCCTCCAAACGCGGTTGCCAGTACCACAGAGCAATCTTATCGAAAAAGGCCGTCGAGAAGAAGACCGAACGTACGAGACAGACAGTTCGGAAGGCATCGCTTCAGTACCGAGTTGTTTACCCAGAAGCCTGAAGATCAGAACGATGATAAAGTAAAAATTACCGACGCCCCACTGCACAGGAGCGCAGCCCCTACCCAAGCGGACGTAAAGAAGATTTCACTCCACACTACCCCGTTGTCCTCGCGTAACAATAGACTTTCTACGAAAAGTGGCAAGACGTATTTCTTCAATTGCTTCGGCAAAGAGATCAACAAGTTTTACGCGGATCCGAGGGACTGCAGGCTGTTCCATTATTGTACGCAGGGCTACAGCAAAAATCAGTTGTTAGATTTAAAATACGTGTGCGATTTGAAGACTTATTTCGACGACGAAAAGCTGATTTGCACGAGGGTGAAACCTAGACGATGTTTGTAAATAGTAGATGAATGTAAATTGTTTTCTGCAAGCAGTACTGTGTTTTTTTATCGCGAATAACTAGTGCAATTAATATGTTAAATGTATAATTGTGTATGTAAATTGATATAAATACTCATAGATTAATATATTTAATAAAGTATTTTATTGTTATGCATTTTGATCGGAGTTTTTTAAGGAGCTTTAAAAATTTGGAACAATTTTCGAGACGCGGTCTTTTAATAATAACAATTAAGGCTATATTGATGGAGAAGCCCCAAACGCGTCTTTAAATAAAGTAACTTAAAGGCACTTATAGTAAAGGGAAAGAAACAATTTTTTAAAGTAAAATTTTTAAACAATTTTTTGGGGTTTCGAAAAAAAATTAAGATGAACGAATGAATTTTATGTCAAACATTACACCAGAAACGTGTCTGTTTTTATTAGATTGAATTGATTGTCAAGTTTATCTTATTATTATGACAAAAGCAGGTCCATTTATTGGTGGGTGTTTTGGAGGAGTAATATTTCCTTAGTTTCCGTAGTAACTAATTGAAGATCAAGCTTCTAATTAAATAAGCAGACTTGGCGGAGCAAGTGTTTAATAAACGAGTGACTGAAGAAGTTTATCATCATGTTGGGTGCACTTTTTCAAAACAGCACGAATACATTCTGACGCCTTAAAGCGACACGCTGAGTATTTTATTTATAATATAATTTAAAATTATTGATTTGTTATATATTATGTTATTATAAGGTCGAGTACAAGTAAAAAAGGTCAATATAACATTATTTCACATTAACACTTCCATCATCCTTCCAGGTTATCCGGGATGTTGATGAAGTGAAAAATGGAATTTTCAAAACAAAAATCATTTTATCACCTAACATCTGGTCTTCTCTCAAATGATTTCCCATATTAGAGACATTAAGCGTTCCACTACAAAAACATTTCACTACAGCCTCCCAAAGAAAGTGCTACTGTGCTTCTGTGGTCTATTACATTCAAATCATTACTGACCACATATGAAAATATCTTAAGAAATAAATGTTAAAATCGGAATTACCACGTGGCCAAAGATCTCTCAAGATTTTGATTGAGAAGCCACGAGATTACAGCATTTCATGCATATGCGGTAAAGAATAGAAAAAATCAATGAGGTCAGAACAACATGAAAGAGCCCTAATACAACGGCAAATAAACTCACAAGCAATCATCTAATCATCAAATCTAATTCGATAAAACTTACCAATCATGCAATCAATCCGAAATTCCTTAGAAATCTCAACTCAACAACAAACTTAATCGCGATCTTTCCCCAACATGGGATTTAATATCCGCTTCCCTCAGAGTATATAAATAGGTACAGAGTAGAATGAAGCCAACAGAATGATTTCTGTAACGTCAGCAAGTTCGATTCATCACCGACCGATGCAGGAAGAATCAAGAAGATTTGTAAATAGTGTTTAACTTTTGAAGAAACGATGTGTAGCGAACATTTTCATCAATTCCAAACTCATTTTAAAAAACAACATATTTTATTACAATAGGTATATGTACAATCTTACAGCTTAAGTAAACCTACACTAAGCATTAGGAATTAAATACTGTTCAAGACTTATTCCGAAATTTAAAACGTAACTTAACAGTAACTCTAGATTAACTCTAATTCGCTGGCGCCCTTTTAATTTCGGTGTCTATCTCGTATTCAGGCTCCGGTCCTATGCTATCATAATAAGCATAATCGTAGCTGACATCTTTCACCTTCTTACTGATAGGTTTAGGAGATGGCTGACTTGGTTTATTCTCCGCTGGCTTCTGAACGTTCTTGATCGAATCGAATCTGGTCGATTTGGGATAATTTTCAGTTTTCGGAGACTCATAAGGTCTCTGCGTTGTGGAAGTGGTGGACTGTCTCACAGATTTCTCATACTCGTTCCTACTGCTCGCGATATTCTGGCTGTGCGCGGTCTTCAAAAACTCGTCTTCCTTCGCACCATCATAATCGTACCTCGAATCATAAGAACCGTCGTCGTACTGACTTTGATCGAACCTAAATGATCTGCTGATCGGAGTGGTGGAAGTGATCTTGGGTACCGTAGGGGTGTACTGGGTGAAAGGCGTCGATTTCTGAGTACTCGACGCAGGGCTTTGCGAGTTGAAGTTGCTCTGGGTTCTCTCCTTGTTGTAGTTGGTAGTCTGCTGTTCAATCTGGGTGTACGCCGCGTTGGTCCTCGGTGCAAAAGTAGTCGGGAACGTATTCGTACTCTGAGTGTTTGGAACGCTAAACGGTTTGGCTTTTGGAGAAAACGTCGTCGGTTTTAATGGCGCCGACGTCGCCTTCTTATCATGAACAGGCGACTGGAAATTGGTAAAGGCAGACGTGCTCTTATATTGGGGATTGTTGGAGGGGTAGTTTTCAGTTTGCTTGTTAAATGTTACCAATGACGTCGTAGGTCTTTGGGGAGGGTAATTCTCGGTAGAGGTCTGCTTGCCGGTACTGTAGTACTGACCGTTGTTGTACTGAGTCGTAGATTTCGTGCTGGCGGGTTGCTGGCTCTGCTTGAAAGGTGCGGGCGTGCTAATCGTATATCCGGGAGTGGGACTCGATTCCCCATTGAACTGCCTCTGCCGCTGACCATTTCTTATCCTAAAATTGCTAATGGATGACACTTCGTTCGCCGTGGTGGGTGACTTGGACGTCGACGTTGGAATATAACTGCTTCCAGCGAAGTTGTTTATGAATCCCGTCGGTCTTTGAGGCCTTCTAGTCTGCGTCTCGCTCTGTTGTTGGTTTTGGTTGTTCTGTTGCTGAACCGGTCGCCTTTGTTGCTTCCTCACGAGTTTCCTCTTCTGTTCGTAATCGCGGTTTTGGTTGACGTTGACGTTGTCGTCGTAATCTTCGTCATTTTCTTTGCCGTTGTTGCGGTTGTTGAAGAAGTTCGAGCTACTCGAGCCCTTAAATATGTCCCGGTCGTTGGCGTTTTCGTTTTGGTGGGGTCTCTTGTGCGGCCTGTAAACGTCTCTTTGCTGATTGATGCTCTGGCTCTGGTGCTCGCGATTAATCCTAGCGTCCCCGGTTTCGGCCCTTTGGAGGGCGAAGGTTTCCTCGTCTTCGCCGTATTTCACGGCCTTGGATTCAAATCCTGCGGAATATAAAAAAACATAATATATTGGAAAAGCGGAGACCTAAGAAGTGGGATTCAGATTTGTGGTGATCCGCGAAAAAAAAATACCAATGCTATTTTTTATGTTCTTATTCGCTGCTGCAATTTATTTATGCTTTCTTCTTTAGATCTAGAGTAGTTTTCCGTAATTAATAGTGATAACATGCCAAAAATACTTATTGATAAATCCGAAATAGATATTTTCGCACAAGTTTTAAATGTCCTAATTTTTTAAAGAAGCTTCCACAGACTACTGTGATATTATTTACAAATCTTCTGGATTGCGGTTGCTGCAGAATTGAGCTTGCTGATGTTTCGCCAATCTTATCGTTGGTTTCTTCAGAGCTTAACTGAAGGCAGAACTAAAGAAAGGGCACGGATATTGTCTCGGATGACTGATTCCCATATTGGTGAATGGTGAAGACCTGACTCGCGGTTAAGATTGTTTGGTTGCTTATGGATTACTATTGATTTGGTTGAAAAAAAAGATTTTATATGCAGATTCATGATTGGGTTCGGCAACTGCTGATGAGCTTACTTGTAATAGTTTTAAGGCTCATTCATGTTCTTTTAGCCTAGTTAATATTTCTCGTCCTGTTTCTCGTATGTATTCTTTGCCGCATATGCAAAGAATGCTGTAAACTCCTGGTATCCTAAAGGGAATTTGGTCACTGACGGTTCACAGGTGTTGGTAGACTTTTGGACGAGTGGTTAATCTTATATTTCTTTTGATATAGGTTTTGAATGTAAGAAAGGACAACAATGGCAAGTGTGGGATTGCTGTCGGACTCATTGTTTTTGTTTGTCTTGAACCGCATTTTGTGATGGAACGCTTAATATAATCTCTCTAATATAATTATTAGACAGAAGAGCAGATGTAAGGTGCTTTAATTCAGGATTCAGTGACTCGGGTTAAGATACTTTTACGGTTTTGTAAGAAAGACAGTTGATAACCGATGATTTTTGGGCCAGATCGTGATGTGACAATGCATTAAGGTATCGACCTGTGTACTTACGTTTTCTGCAAGCAGTAATATTCAATTGTAAAACGTATGTTAGGGTGTATAGAGGTTAAATGACTAAGAAAATCTCAGGAATAACAAAAGTATCATCAACGTAGCGTTTCCATAATTTTGGTTGTAGATGGAAGGTGCTGATGGCTTTCTTCCCAAATGCCTGCACAAATATATTCGCCATGCCTGGTGATAATAAATAATAATAATAAATTTGACCGTTATAAGCAAAATATGTTTCAGACAAGCATTTTTCGGTTTCAGTACAGATGAGAAGGTTTGGTTCCAGATTCTATGATGAGAGTGGTGAGAGTTGCAGGAATAGATACTTTAGTAAAGAGGGATTCTACGTCGAAGTTAACTAGAATATCTTAAGCGCGACTCAAACAATATATAAGCAGATACAGAGTAGAATGTGAGTCAGTTTCAATTAAGCTCTGAGGAAACCAACTGGACGATGGGCGAAACGTCACCAAAAGTTTTGTAAATAGTAACATTTCATCCTATATACAGGAAAAAAAGACGTACAATGTAGACACCCGGTAAAATATTATTTTATTAGAAGTATTTCGACACTGATTATGTTGATGAAGATTGTTTGTGTTTATTTAACTCGGCAGGGATTCTGTCGTATATCATTTAACGCCAATGCAATGCAGATAAAATAGTCATCGGAATGAATAATTTTGATTGATTATAAACGTAGACCACCATTGTTATAAGAGCCACTCGTGTCGCGGTGATGAATTACTGGGAGTGTAAACTGAATGCGAAACGGTAAAAATGCGTGGGAGGAAAGAAGATAAATGCGCAAACATAGGCAGCAAAGGTATTATTTAACAGTGGAAAGTTTGTTTTTTTTTTCGCCAGGTGAAACGCCTTCAATGACGGTTGAGTTATTTATGGTGCGGTATATTTATATACCGCAACTAGTAAACAGCCTCCGTAGTCTATTCTATGCTATTTATATGCAAATCAAAAAATACAAAAACGTTTTAATTTTTTAAAGCCAAGTTCAGAGGTAACCAAACCTCAACTTCCCGAAATTCATTCAGTACACAATATATAAAAGCTGCAATTTCCTAAAGACGTTCTCTGATTTTGTACTTTTAAGGCAGTTACAAATTAAAATAAAAAGTCATTAAAAAAAAAGATTATGCTCTATTCGTAGCAGAACCAAGCTATCAAACATTCCCTAAGTAGTAACACTTAAATAGGTTACAATCCAAATTTTGATTACATTAAACATGATCCCTAACATTAAGAAAAAAATTATATTTCAGTAAAAATGTTACATAATGAAAAAATAATAGAGAAAAAACGACTGACTGAAATGTCTCAACGTGTTGCATACTATACCTTTTCTGTGGCCATTACTTATTTGATACATTTATGCAAACTGTCAAACTACATCAATGGCTATAATCTACAGAAAATATGCAACAAATACCGGAAACGAAGGAATAAGCAATGAAGCTTAGAATGATACTTTACACATGCAGCATCAGTATTTTTTTGTTTGCTTATACCAATCGAGCTTATTTGTTCAACAAAATTATATTAAAAAACCAAACTAACTGTTATTAATTTGTTATTATTTTAACTAGGCAGAGCAGAAAAAGGGCCAATTAAGTCGTAATGTAACGATCTATATTAATTACGTTCATTCTTCATTGTCGAATCTACGCATTATAACAACTATATATTAACTCATGGTCTCATTAAACTTCATCCTTATAGAGGACGCTATATTCATCCTTGCGACCCATAAATCCAAATCATTTGTTATAACACATTTATTTAATGGCGTACAATTTATAAGCGATACCTTCTATTATGTTACACATAAAACAATGTAATTGCAACCCGTTATCTAAAGAAATCCGGTAAGTAACTCATCGGTTGTTCTTTCTCATGCAAATAGCATCATAATTCACATTGCCTGCCGCAGAAGCGACCGTACGACCTTTAGCGTGGTCTTAGCTTTCACTTTTTCATTCCTTATGTGGAAGAATAACGATTCCGGATTGCACGGATCATCGTAGTAGTCATCGTGTCATCTATTACGTTCCGCGTAAACTCAGGACCTACTACGTTGCATTTAACGTTATGTTTCAACCAACGTATTGGCCAATATATGTTTTCAGATGTACGGATTTTTGGGAACATCGGATTCTCTGGTTCAAATGTTATTCTTGCTAATGAAATGCAAGAATGAACATGCCCTTTGTGCATAAAAATTTATCGCCCTATAACAGATTTTTTGTGAACAATTTTCCTGTCTACGTTGATAATACACGAATTTTTGAAACAATCATAAAAAAATATTGAGATAGGACATTAACTTAAAATGTCGTTTTCAACCATTAAGAACTAGCGGCGTCTAACAACCATAATGGCCTCTTAGATGAAGCATTTTTATAGCAGCATTTTCTCAAAAAATGCCCAAATCTTGTTAAATCTTCTGTTCAAAGTGCAGGTTAGTGGGTGAAAAGTAGAGGCATGTATGTAGGTAAGTATGCATATAGCGGCTAGAGATATAGAGGCCCTGTCTATATCGATAACATAGAAACTTATGAAGCAACTTAAAAAAAAATATTGAGAAGACTTATTTTTAACCAATAACCTTATATAAATATAAATAGCAATTATTTGATTGGACTTTTGGACCTTAACCATAATGTTTTTTGATCTGATTGACCACTAGCTTTAACAAGCAGAGTTTTAAACAATATTTTAGAAACAACTATATTCAAATATGTTTGTGTTCTGTGGTCAAGCTTGCAACTAGACTTTATAGAATTGAAGGATATAAAAAGTGGTGTTTAAGCATTCAAAGATTATAATGTTTAGGATTAGAACCACGAACAAATCTCCTTTCTTATAGTACGACAAAACCTGGTTCTATTGGTGGAATTGAAAACTTTTTATTCTCACAAGATGAGCAGTAGTATCGAATGTATGACGTAGGGTTTCAGAGAATTGTAACTCGGCTCAATTGCAATAGTTCGAAATATGCGTATGGTTTGATTATATGATTTTGGTACTTAGATTTCTGAGACCACAAATTTTGGGAGAAGTGAGTTTTTTCAAATACTTTATAAATTTCACCAAATAGTGTCATTTTTTTTAAGTTTCTGAATAAAAAATCAATTTTGACAGTAAGACAATTTATCCAATAAATTTGAACCTCAAATTTAGCTAATAACAGAAAGTCCTAAGCCATGGAATTTTATGAAAGACGGTGGTATTTTTGAAATTGTTTTTTAGAAAAAGCGATAACATGTTTTGGTGATTCGGGAAAACCGCTACAGTCCCTATTTTTCACCTCAGTACTTTAAAGTTCATAAAAAAAAAAACAGACAAGTTTACCTGAACCGATACGATAGAGATCGAAGTTGTCGCTGGAATAATACAAAGTTGTCGCGTCACAATCGACGTCTTCCCATTCTGCGCAGATCTGATGGTCTTGGTCGAAAGCGGTGCCGTTGGGACACAAGAAACGGAAATCCTGGACCTAAAATCGAACCAACAATTTGCAAACGGTTAATTTAATATGTTTTTGAACATCTACCACACGATCTGCTGTTATCTAATTTTCTGCACGCCAAATGTGGATAGAGAAGACGATTATTATATTCCGAACGTTTTATTATTCGATTTCACAAAGATTAAGTAATTTGCTGACACGAAATTTTTATAACCCGTGGGTCAACTTTCCGTTGGCTTCCATTTGTACATATTAAGTTTTGTTTTATAAAAAATTTCAGCATTAGGAAGATTTAAGGACAGAGATGTTGTAAAAGATTCATGGTTAAGTATAAATACAATTCATAAACCGGTTGGACGTAAAAAAAATCCACATCAAATATTTCGCGCCTGTTTTTGATAGCCTTTTTTTCATTCCAAAACGTTAATTGGGCTCGGTTCGAGGAATATCTACCTAATTTTATACCTGAGCGTTTTTACGATATGACCAGTTTTCACTAACTAAAAAGCAAAAGCTGGTTTCGACATACATTATAGGCTTTCTGGCATAAAATTCGACGTTTTTAACGTCAGTTGAGTGTACGAAAGATTGCCAGCGCATACGTAAAAATGCAAATCGCTATTTGGTTTTTTTTACGGTCAAAGCAGGCAAAACAAGTTTCCAATGAGAAAACAGCCACATTTAATGGTAATAAGAGCATAGAGACAGCATGAGATAAATTAGTAAGAACTGTAAACAATTGAAAACTGATAAAGGTAATAATGAAAAAGATAAATGAATATAATAATAATAAAAACCGTGTAAAATTGGTTGTTTAAACTGTTAACAAATTGACTATCTTTCGACAACTAGGCGAACAGTTTCTTTTAAACGTTTGAGATCTGATGAAGACATCAATATCTATGCTAACCAAAAATGCTTGATTTTATTGTTGTGCCGATTATATTATTTTAGCTAAATTATTGCTTCCACCATTTTCCCAGTGGCCAATTGACGTTAATTATGGACCCAGAGGAAATAACACCTTAAGTATGTCTCTTAACGTCGACCCTTAAAAAATATCCATTTATTCGTTCGAACTAACCAAAACTAACTGATTTTACTGTTGTGCATTAACCCGGAAATATTGTTTTAGCTAAATCATAGCTTTAGCCACTTTCCAATAGGTCTGGGTTTAAGCAAATTCATGTTAATTATCGACCAAGAGAAGATAACGTGTGCAGTATGTCTCTTAAGGCCGACCTATAAAAAATATCCATTCATTCCTTAAAACTAACCAAAACTAACCAAAAATTTTTTGTTTATTATTGTGCATCAATCCGAAAATGTTTCAGCTAAATCAGAGCTCGCGCCACTATGACGAAATGAGAATCAGTGAAAACATTTTTAGAAAGATCCAAGAATCAACATATTATCGAAGTGAAAATCAGGCATCCAGTTTTGTGTAGTTTTGGTCTGTTGGTGATGTCTACTTTTTTCGTCGAAACTTGATGAGTTGAAGTCACAAATGATGGAAAATGCTCACCCCAACTCCGGCAACCTTCACGCATACGTGGAACATTTGGCACTGGGTGTCCGGATCAGCGTAGTAACCGCCCAAAATTTTCTCACGGCAAGTAAACTGGGTGCTCGGCATATTTTCCAAACTGTAGGTAGGAAAAGGCCTGTGGTTCAGAAAAACTGCACTGCCCCATTCCGTTAAAAATCCTGAAAATGGATAACCAGACAGGTATCAACTCTGATGGCTTTCTAAAAATATTGCGAATTGATAGCAGTGACTCGGTTTTTGATTAATAACATTAAAAAAATAAATATGAAATATAAGGAAGAAGAAGATCACTGATATAAAATTTGACCACGAAGAAGATAAAACTGAACAAAAATAAGTAGTATTGAAATGAATTTAAAATAAATAAACAAAGAATGTGAAAAATAGAACAAAAAAGTTGTTTATTCGCTCAAGAATAAGTTGCGGAAATTATCATCAATAGTTCATATTGTTTAACTTCTATAGTCAAAAAAATATTCCAAATAATATCAACTAATGAAGAGAGAGAAACTGCAAAGTATCGACATTTCTAAATGGATGAATTGTTACTTCAAAACAAGGGAAAATATGAAATTACAAAGCAAAAGAAACATTTTTCTTTGTATTTAGGTATTAAAATTTAATTTCTATTTAAATTTTTATGTTTAAGAACTATGTGACAAAGAATGAAATTCTTGACAATTTGCAAATTTCAAAAAATAGTGTTGTAAGTTTTTTTAGACGTCAATTCTAGAAACGTTAAAAATGATATATTTTTATTTTGTACATAAAATGTTTTATTAGTGTTACCTTGTGTTATTTTTTTTAACACTTATGTATATTGTACGAAATTTGTATCGTATAGAGACTTATTATTATTATTATTATTATTATTATTATTATTATTATTATTATTATTATTATTATTATTATTTTATGAGATGACGCTTGTTCAAAATTTGTCGTTAATAAGTATTAACATTTAAAATTATAAACCTAGCGTTGTGGTCAAATTTTAAGGAAAAAGTAGCTTTTGTCTGGTTGACAAAAAAAAATGGTGCCAGAATGGTTTTTTCGTACTCGTACAGTAAAAAATACAGGGTGTTTCTTAATACTGTGCCAACACTGGATTCGTTTTCAAGAAAAAAGCTTCATGAGAGAGTATTAGCTAAATATTTTCTTTCGATTCTATTGCGTTTGTCTTATCAGACGCAGCGGCTAATAACTTTTGAATATTCAAATCTACGCAATTGGAATTTGGTGACTTATACGAATGCGGAGGGACAAAATAATTAATGGAATTAACATGCGCACTCTTTCCTTTGCGGTCTAGTTTTAATGTTTTCGGACAAACGTTCACGTAAAGTTTTGTTCTTAAAATGAGTAAATTGACACAACCTTCAGATTCACCCTGTATATAGTTTGATTTTTTTAAAATAAATTCGTTAACGGTTTGCAGATGAGCGATACGCACGAGAAAAATGTAAAGCTCCGGATCAGCATTTACGGTACGGCGAGGTAAAACACTTTTTGCAAACAATAACGCAACCGTCCGACACATCTGCGGAGATGTTTCCCGCGATTACGTGTGACACCAATACAACGTTTACGTTACGTAAATTGCGAAACATCCTCTCTACGCTAACAAGTCTCGGAGATTTTCTACGATACCATCTCGCCGGTATACCTACCGCTACGGCGCGTATTAAAAGTAATATTCTTTCTTCACCTGTTGTTGCCCGCTGTCATAAACCTTGTTTTGCGATTTCAATTTCAATAGTTTATTCTTCCGACCCGATAATTGGTTGAATGGGATGTTTTATTCATTCAGCAGCTCGAAGGTTGTGAAACTGACTCGTTACAGAAGCAGCAAACAAGTTATTGTTAAACGATCTTATTGCAATGATAGTCCGGGCAAATTCAAACATATTCTGCCGTCTCCGTGAAGACGGTTGGCAAGGTGCAAACGTTGAAGTAGGAGCAATAAGAAATTAACATGCTAGGCAAGCGACTAAAAAGCTGTCAAAGTTAGCTCTCTTTGTCTGAACCATGCTATGCCTCAGCGTTTTTCATATTTGCCACTAGAATATTGTGGAAAATCTTGTTGGAATAGAAATGTTCAATCACAACCCAGATAGCACCCGACATACATTGGATATGTCAAATTAGTCCAGGCAATTCGTCGGACATTCAAGGGACAACTTCTTAACATCCAGTAGTAAATCTTTTGTCGGATATAATATAAAATGATAAAAAATTTAGGCGTTATGGGATAATATGAAGCAAACCATACCAAACGCTAATACAAGGATATTAATAAAATATTACATGTGTCACAATCTGTTACGTTATAGTGGATTTGAATTAATAATTATTATTTCTGAAAATAGCAGATTCGTTACCAACTAAAAACGCAAGTCCATATTTCTTTGGTTTAACCCTAGGATCCGAACCAAACAATTCATGCCATCTTATTCGTAGAAGGTATACCTTAATTGGTGCCATTATGGTTCAAAAACTTTAATATTTGAATTTTTTTTTTTTCAATATTCATCCTTGGATTCCAAAGGTAACCCATACGTGGATACTAAAAGTTTTAAATGTCTAAATTCCAAAATGACATCCAGAAGTGTGCCATTGGTAGCTCCATAAAATGTGCTATTCGAAAAGGAAATCAAGAAACATTCCAGACAACGAAAATGTTAACAAATAGAGTCGTTTTTCTAGTATTCATAAGCACGGGTGAACTACATCGGCAGAAATACTGCTGAGTAAGAGCTGCGACAAACATTCTAGCTCTTAATGACCGATTTACACTTTGATTCGCAATAAGTGTTGTAGGTGTATGGTTCTAGTGCTTAGTAACTTGTATATCGGTCGATCTAATGAATTAAATGTCAAGTCCGGGCATCTTCATAGATGAATGAAAGAATAATGTCTTCTTTGGATGACGAAGCCTTAAGTATCGACTCTGAATTTCACTCAAAATTTGGCCTACACTTAATAGCTCTATTGTTATTATACAAACTTTTTATTAGTTTTAGGCATAAAAGAGTAACAATTTAACACTACCATCGCAAAACAGGAAAAAATAAGTTTATTCAGAGTCATAGGAAAGATATGGACCATACTACAAAAACAACAACAAAACAACAGGATTTTGCACATATATATAATTATGAACTGCCTTGAGGAAGTGCTCCTGTATTCGTCTTTCTTGTCCTCTTTTAATTCTGGGAAGAGTATACCTTTCCTAACTTTTATTTTAAATCCTCTTTATAAAATCATTTCTACTAAATTTTGACCAATTTCTTGCGGTATCCAATTTCGTAGTGATAGTAGTGAAAAAAAACTTCATTCGACAATATATCTATTTTCCAACTTAGTTTAAGTTCGAAAGACCTATAGCAACATTTCTTTTGCTTAGTCTCATTTTAATCCAGATTAAATCAAAGTTTCTGATAACTTTACAATAAGCCGATCTGAACTACAAAATAGAATTTTTCGTAGGATAAAAGTGGTAAACGTACTCAATCTCATATCCGGCATAATCCGCACGAGAACACAGACGCACTAATTCTTGCACCAATAAATAAAAATGGATCGGCAAAATACCCGCCACTGGTACTCACCTACGAGTAAAAATGCACCAACACACTTCATCGTGATCGCTTAGAGACTAACCGAAGACGGTGAAGAAACTTTAATGAAGATGCATCTGCGGTGGAAGATGTAACGACCAGTGAAAGGATACACACGAAGCAGCGGGTTGACCCAAGGTGGATTAGAAGAAATATAAGGGGGGTCGTCGGCAAGGATGTGTGGGTTTTCGGAATTTAGATTCGCTCTCGGTCTCGACGACTAAAATACCACAGACCGGCGACATTTTTTTAATAATTATATATTTTTTGTACTTGACTGTTGCCAGTTGCGAATGCGATTGATATCCGGTTCAATATCGAGTAATCAAGTTTCAAACATTTTTTAGAAAAAAAAAAAATGTTTCAAACAAACAACTTAAAGTAAAAACCAGCTAATCTAACCCGTGGGCCAATTCATTGAGCACTGAATTTAAGGATTAAATTTAAAAGAGAAATCCTTATAATAATCACAACGCCGTCAATCTACAACTTTCATTATTTAAATAGGTACCCTAACTATCAAAAATTTAATTCTATAAATATTTAATGATGTGAATGAACATACCGTAAGTTACCGCAATTAGTACAAATATTGATAATATCGAATCGAAAACCACGTCTTTAGAGCAATCTAATTAGATAACGATAAACGATGCCAAAACTTAAAAACATTTTTTATTTTTCCCTCAATTTCGATTGATGCAAATTGATAAAAAAACACAAAAAATAAAAATTGCTATTTCATAATTTCAAAAAAATTGTTTTTAATATGAAAACAAAAAAAATATGTACCTAGTTATACAAGTTTCTAACCCCATCCGGTCATTTCGCTTTCTTGCTTGCTTTCCTTAAATATAAGAACAAAAAAAAATACATAGTTTCTTAGGGCATCCATTCATTTTGCTTTTATTAAACATAATTTCTCAGGTTTATTTAAAGTTTTATGTAAGTTTTAGGCAAAATCAGATTCGAAGAATCGAAACATGCCTATGGAGGAAGGAATAATGAACAATGAAATAATAAATCATAATAATAAAATAATTAAATTGAAAAATAAAATAATTAAGTGTATACAAATATCTTACTACAGTGTCCACTTACTTTTTGGAAACTTAAACAAAGCTTCAATCTATTTTAGTAATTAAACTTAGTAAATAACTATGCAGAATATAATAATAATATATAAAATATAAAAAAACACAAGGAAGACAATTTTATGTATGTATATAAACTAACACACATGTGAGATATATTAAATTAACATGTAAAGAATACGGTTCAGGACTCAGTACAGTTTAAGTAAAAAAAAACTTATATAGGCAACAAAACAATTATCATAAAACAATAAGAACAAAATAGTACATATTTTTTTATTAATCTTTTAAATGACTTCAAAATTATTAAACTCTAATAAATTTAAATTAGTGTTTAAGATCTCTGTGTAGTGTCATATCGATTGTTTTTTGCCCTATAAAAAATTCTACTAAGCGATGTTTACTGTTACAACTTACAACTTTACCTATGTCATTTATGCACAGGAAAAACGATAATGGCCTTAAAACAGCTCCTATGGTCCACCAAGGTAGATTCAGACACAGCTGTGTAACTTATCTATTAAAATATCTCCTTCTTTTGACAATCTCAACAGATCTTCTAAAATCTAAAAACACAGCCATTTTATTTTGTATGCAAATCTAAGAATCTTTAATTTTTAAAATTCTGACTGGACAGCAGAAGAAGAATTAAAGTTGTTGGATTCGCTTATCAATTATGGTAATTGGGGCTTAGTAGCACTTGAGTTACCCAACAGAACACTATGTGATATTAAAGAGCATTACAATAACTTTTACTTGGATAGAAATAGCCACAAAGACATGCCAACATTTGAAAAAGAGATTCGGTTCGCTAGCGCAAGTTTACACTTGATAACGGATAGTGATACAACTGTCCAAAACGTTGTGTAAGTTAAAAATAAAGACAATGGAAGTTCGACATCCTTTTAGTATTTCTACTGAATCAGTGTCTACCACCTTCAAGCAAAAATCTATGTGCTATTTCATTACCACTGTTTTTTGGTCTATTTTGCGACATTCAAATACCATCTTACAAATAACTCTATGAAGGGTGGCACGGTTTCCTTTTCAATTATTCCAAAGCAGGAAAATAGGAACAACAATATATATTTTTTAATACACTTCGAGACATACTTTACCTGGAACCTTTGGTACCTGAACCATCAAAAACGATTTCCGTTTCTCTAAAAACTACCCCGTCGAAAATGATTGATTAAACTTGAACTGTAAGTTGGTTTCGAACAAAAAAAGGAGTCAAATTGAAAATTTTGCAAAAGCGTCAACCATTGTTTAAGTTAATTTCAACGAACGACAGTTACATCAGGCTCATGGCCGCACCAAAAATGCCCAATTAATTTCTGTCGAAACTTCCAAAATTTAAATGCCACTTCGTGCTTAAACCATCCACATACATTAAAGTAATTCCATGTAAGAATTTGGTATTCTTGTGAACCGCTTCGCTAGAAACACGACAATGATATCACAAGCAGACGATTCTGCAGTCGCTTCGAGGTCAGATCATCTTCACAGCGAAATGCTACATGGTATAATCCTCTGGAATCTTAAAAAATACCGTGCCTATTAATATTAATGGACCGTCGAAGAAAGACAATGATATCATTTCGGAATTTTAAGTTTCGTTTGTGATGATGGCTGCAGGTTATGCGCGATGCGATTTCAAGGATTTCTGATGCATCCTTGCATTTCGCAAACATGATATTTGTCAGCGCGAACATTGACGAGTGAAATCTGTTTGTGCTAAATTAGGCTTTCTATCGGACGAGGCACTAGGAAGAGGAAAGGCGTTATGAAATTCATAAATAAATTCAAGGGTACCTCCTTCGTCGGTGAATCCTCTTAATGGATTAAATTAAATATGCAGTTGCTGCTCACCTTTACAAAATAACACATCCGCGTTGAATAAGAGTTTATGGCCGGCGTGGAAATTATATTCGCTTTTTTATCCTTTAAGGTACTAAAACTAAAGATGGAAAACAAGGAGTCTTTCTTCAAAAACATTTATTATTAATTAGTATTAAAGATCACACCCTTTTATAGGGTCAATTATCGTCTCACAATTAAAAAACTTAAGATATTGAATCAACATAG